GCTACCTCATCATCAGATTTCTTTTTAGGCATCACACTGACAACTTGCTCCTTCACTTGTTCTTTCAAGTCGACCAAATGCTGCTTTGCTTTTCTAAACAAGAAAATTGCGTGGAAATTCTTCAAAAAGTAATCAAAAGCTTACGAAAATGTTGGCGATCCTAGAATTGAATCGAGAGCAGGCTTGACTTGGGGCATCGTATCTTCCACCTAAGAAAGGCACTTGTTTTTCTAGAGAAAGCATAAAACAACAGCGCATAAACCTTTGAAAACAAACCCAGCAAGTGCTTTGAAATCAATACAAGAAGAAATCAACGCACAAATTTTATGATCAAACTTACTTTCTAGAAAACTTTTGTTCCTTCTCACTTTCGAATTAACAATCTATGCAAAAAATGAACGAGATAGCAAGTGGGTAAACGAACGAGCTAACACGATTGTTTCTGCTTGTTCGAAGTGAACTTCAGTAAGGCTTACACTATCAACGTTGCATAATTTCTGTACAAATAAGTAGAAAAATTATAACCTTGTGCCTGAATTCAGGATCCATGTACGCATAGCCGACAACACCGCTAGCGCCAACCGCCAAAGCAGTAGCTGCGAGAGCTAGCTTACGCCCGGGTCTCCTGGAAACCCTTTAAATGAAACAGATGGTTGCTTAAGATAAAGAATTTCCAAACAGTGAAAAAACGGTAGAAAAAACATCAAACACACCTTTTGGCAGGTTTTGGCACATGAGGGGGAGGTGGAGGTGGCGCTGGTGCCTGTGTGGCTTGAGCTCGAATGCCCTTCAGGCCCTGCTCGAGAGACTTCCTCTGGAATAACAAGGGTATTTATTCACAAGAAAAAGATTAGCATGAACTTACGGTGGCAGCGCGAAGCATTTTCTATCGAACCCGCTCCAAAAGAGCAGGAGCCACCGCAGAGAGTGAAGAAACCTGCCAAGAATCTCCTTCAGTGTAATGTTCAAAAACCCGTCAAAAGGGTGAAGGATATACAGGATGACTGATGATCAATGAATAAAAGAAAAACGAATTCGTGGGAAGAGATGTATGATCAGAGAAGACAAACCATGAACGAGCAGCTCCAAAACGATGTGTAAAATCAAATGCGTGTTCTCCCAATACACCAAGCACCCTAAGTGACGCCTAGCAAAATCTAATGGAACTCATTTGAACATGGACATTTCTGCTGGATACATTTGATTCGCCACATAAATGCAAAGCTCCCGTAGAGGTATCGAAAGTTATTTTTTTCTCGCAATATTATATCCCTCGAATTTTCATGTGGTCCAAAAACCTCGTGTTCTAGTACAGTCGAGTCATTTCATATGATCATGTGTGTCACCGC